TCAGTCAGTCATTTTCTACCGCTTATTCCATAGTGGGTCACGGGGGAGCAGGTGCCTATCTCCAGCATTCTATGGGCGAGAGGCGGGGTACACCCTGGACAGGTCGCCAGTCCATTGCAGGGCAACACACAAACAACCACACACACTCATTCACCTAAGGGCTATTTAGAGTGACCAATTAACCTAACAGGCATGTCTTTGGACTGTGGGAGGAAGCCAGAGTACCCGGTGAGAACCCACGCATGCACGGGGAGAACATGCAAACTCCATGTAGAAAGTCCCCAGGTCGGGAATCAAACCCAGGACCTTCTTGCTGCAAGGCAACAGTGCTACCAACTGCGCCACCGTGCAGCCCCAGTTTGAATTCATATTTTATATAATTACACCCCTTTATCCCATTAACATAGCATTGTTGAGTGATGGATTGATGGTGATTTTTTTGGAGTTCCTGCTTAAAAATTACATACCCGACAGACTTCCGGTGGCGCCATGCTGTAGAAAACAGGAGGAAAGACTGCTCTGAGGAACACGACTAAAACTAGCGTTAAAATAAGGTTAAAACAGTGGAAAGAAAACCAAATAAAACCCGCTCCTAAAGTGCTATAGAACATCCATGGAAATTATGGTTAAGATAGGGAAGAACACGGAAGAGAAAGGCGCAAAAGAAAAGAGTACCGGAATGGCGAAAGTGCAGAGCCAGGATGCGGAGAATTCGGATCCGCCGAACGATGACCGTGACTCGGCCATACTTCATGAGTTAAGGGGGCTGCGAAAAGAACACGCGGAACCGGTAGCGGTAGCGGTAGCAGACAACAAGAGAGCACTGGCTAGACTTGAGGTGAGCATTGGAGAGCTCATGGTCAGCACCTACGATAAGAAAAAACAGACACAAACAATAAAAACCTCTTATAAGAAGGAAAAAACAGACACAAACAATAAAAACAATAAAAAACCTATTATAAGAAGGAAAAAAAGGCATCTACAATAAAACAATAAAGCTTTTATAAGAATAAAAACAGACACCTACAATAAAACGGTAAAACAATAAAACTTATACCTAATTACTTCTTTGATCTAGGACAAAGGGCCATAAATTCTTCACTAATGGAGGTCATAAAATCATGCTGTGACATAAGGGATCCACTCTTATCTCTCACGTAGTGTCTCATAACAGTGAGGAAAAACCATCTATCAGTGTGTTCAGGTCTAAGACGTCACCTCTTCCTTAAGGAGTT